CCCCCACAAAGCTGAAAGGTCCACTTTTTGGTCCACTTTTTATGTTAAGGTCTAAGATTTTTCTTGAAAAGATGGACTGGAACCGTAGAAAAACTGCTCCCTTTGTCATTGAATAAAAATTTATCTCTGAAGCAGTGGGAAGAACCCCCCCCCATTCAAAATCCTGGCTACGTGCTTGTTTTGAGTGTGTTTTCCGGTGATTTCCCACTGCACGAAATTGTATCTTCAAGGACACCTTAAAGTATAAGTAAAGATTCATTTTCGTTACTCTAGTAAACATTTACACGTGCTTTAAGCTGTGCTTAAAAATATTATTTATTTACGTCTTCAAACTTGAGTACAGCCCCACATTGTCCTAGTCCTTGTATTGTTGTATTGTTCAATAAAGAATTCTTGTAGTTTTTTAATAGTCTAGTTTACTTGTGTAACAAGAATACATTGTGGGCTTGTGGCTTATAGTCTGTAAGTAGAATGTACGACACATGTCACAGACAAATGTGTGACAAGCTAGCAACCCTTATACAAGACGTGCTATGGCGTGCCTTTTCAATTTCAAATTGTATTCTGATATTTCATCTTTGGCGTCAAATTACAGTCTTGAATTTGTCATCCCATTTGCAACATGCATGTATGTTACAAGGTATTGATCCACCCTGTCACTTTCGAAGTACCACAGTTTGTATATATAAGGACTAGAACTATCCAGCTGGATACCTTAGTAAGCTCACAGTCCAGAGCGTTCTTGGCCTTCCACTTCTCAGGCTGCACCACCCAGTCATCGATGGCACGGGAACTACTCAACGCCTGGGAACACAGAAACAACAAGAACCCGTATCAGACCTCCATGACATATCTAGATCTTGTGTGAAGGTGGCTGTGCCCTCTTCTCGTTCACCATAGTGTCTACAGGTCTTTCTTTGTCGTGAAAGGAAAACACCACCGGTTGTCAACTGTCAAGGAGGTTATGTCATTACATTTGGTAAACCGCCACCAACGAGACTTCCGCAGCAATGCAACACCCAGTGGTACCAGGTCAAGTCGCACACTACAACGTGTCATTTCTCGACTGTAATGATTTAACACCATTGCACATTCAGCTGCAGTCAGACCCAGTTAGCCAGGCTATGTTCAACCTTAGTATCATTACACCAGAAAATACATTGCTATTGCATACCTCAACATCATCGTGGTTCAGCTGAAAGATACAACAAACATTAGACACTATGGCGGTCTCATCTCAGCTTGCGAACGCTCCATGTACTTCATGGACATCACGTACCAACGTTATCTGTCATTCATACTTCACATGCTATTGGCTCCTGTCAAAATAATCCACACGCTACATCTAGAAAGCTTTCGCCTGGAGTTCAACCTTGTTACCTCCGGGGGAGGAGACATCCTTCCGCGGAAGGGAGATTTAGATTTTTATGTTCGCAGCTGTTTCTCGCGTTTGGGTGGACGGATTCTTTTGAGACTCGTATATGTTTTGCTATTGGGCTATTTGTTTTTATTGTATATGTGTTTTCGGGCGTGAAAATGGTGCCTTTTGGTGGCCCTAGAACACCCCTTTAAGCGTACAATTGGTCGCGACCGTTGACCTTTGGCGTGTATTAGGTATTGTCGGTCTCGTCCTCGAAGGTGACCCCTCGCAAAGAGGGGTGTCCGATATGGTGCAGCATGTTGGCAGAAGGTACTTTATCCGTATCACGGTTTTCAATGGATGTTTGCTCAACGTTGCAGCAAAGTTTGCCCGTTGCAGACGATATTTTTCCGACACAAGAATTGTAAACTAAAGACGGGATGTCATCTTTAAATAGGCGAATACGACCTTGAACGAGACTTTCTGTCCGGGGCGTACGGTCAGATTTTCTTGAAGCCGAGATGGCGGTCTATAGGCTCATGCTGGTCTACAATATCTGCTTGGAGAAGAGTAGTGCACTAATGTTGTGTTAGCTATTATAGTTTTTAAAAAATGGTCGGTAGGTGGGTTTTTCATTTACTTTTCCAAATTTTAGCCGAAGTGATCTAAGTAGTACAGTTAATACAACACTAAAATGAATCAGTACATTTGTACTATTATTTATTTGGATCCCAGCTGAAACTTTCGGCCTGGTTCTAATTCGGTCCAGTGATTCGGTACGCACTGTACCACTAGGTCATATCGAATATTTTATGTCTCTCGTCGCCCCCCGCCCCCCCCCAAGGCTAGGGTCGGGGGGGTGCTATGGTCAGTCGGGGAACCGGAAACACGACATTTGTTCCTAAGCCTAAGTAAAGTAAGCGACATACCTGTAGAAAAACGCTGCAGAAGAAGTCCTCCAGTGTCTTCTGTCGGTCCTCGATGGTGACAGCCTGTTTCTGCAGCTGGCCCAGCTCAACCTCCTGCAGTTCCACGGGCACCTGCTGGGTGGCCAGGAACTGCTTCAGGTCCGACAGGAACGTCTCCCGCTCGTGGTGGCTGGAGAACTTCAGAACCTGTACGGCAGGATGAACATGAATTTGGAGATCTCATACCTGCATGAAGCTTCGGTCACAACCCGCCGTGCGTGCTTCTGCGTGCTGTCTACGTGCAAAAACGTGGGCAAACGCAGGGCATCCGTGCGTGGTGAGTACCGCCTCCGTACGGAATCCTACGGATTTGGGAGCACGCAGACACGCCGTAGAACTTTAAGTGCATGTAAAACTTTTTCTGCGTGCGGTCTACGGATTCACCACCCGTACGTGCGAGTACGGGCGACGCGCGTACGTACGTACCGTACGAAAGACGCACACACTTGCACTTGCACGTACGATGCACGCAACCGCTCACGGCCAGACGTGGCATGCAGAACACACTCTTACACCTTGCGAAACCGTGCGAGTGACGTGCGTCGATGCCACTCCTTCCCCACGTTTTCAGAAAAAACGTACCAGACGTAGCCTCAAAAAACCGTAGGACAAAAAGCACGTACGGCGGGTTGTGACCGAGGCTTGAAACGTTCAATTCTAGTGTGGTGGTATCCGAATCTCATTCACCACGGCGCCTAGAAATCTTTCTTTATCGTACAAGGGAAACAGCACCAGCTGTCAGCTGTCAAGGAGGTCATGTAACGAAATACACCTGTGAAAACAGCGAGCGCTACCAGATGCGATTAATGACTTTCTCTCTCTGTCACAGACTAAACCCGACCAAGGTATCCATTACAACCTGACCTAAGGGTCATGCGGAAATACACACACACACACACACACACACACACACACACACACACAGGGACATACAGAGAAAGAGAGAGGCTGGTCTACAATATCTGCTTGGAGAAGAGTAGTGCACTAATGCGCGGCGACAACGGATGTTACAATCCTTCAGCAGACAATACCAAGAATTCAGCCGCAAAAGTTTGTCTTGTACAGACACGACAGTGAACCTCTTACTGAGACATCGTGTCCAATTTGTACCGTCCAGGTCGTGACTTACAAAAAGTGAATAACCACCGTTTGATTACCTCCACATACATGTACATCACTGACAAGAGTAGCCTCTACCAGGCTTCGGAAGTGGCTGGAAAGAATAGAACTGCTAGGAGAGTTGGTGCGCTAAGGAGTACATTTTGCCGCCTCCCTTGGCGGACCAACGTCCCTGGCATGTTATCTGTCTATTCGGCCGATTTCTGCTCTTTCCGACCACTTTAGAAGCCTGGTAGAGGCCATGACAAGAGGATATGCTTCTCAAACGACAAAACTAGAATATCCACGTTACCAAGTCGTATTCCCTGGGGATGTGGATGGACAGGAACTTGCAGCCCCTGTCCGTGGACACGAGGATGATCCCTCGGGCGATCTTCGCGATGTTGACCAGACGGACGACGGTGTCTCTCGTGTCCCTGACCTCTATCAGAGACGGGCTCTGCAGTTTCACCACAACCTGCCTGGTGGGGACTCTCCTGCCCTGCCATTCCGTTGCTACACGAAAGGAGGTATTGTTATTACCCTATGGGTACACCATATAAACCAAATAATCGACCAAATGAGGGTTTGTGATTTTGAACCGATTATAACTTGGGGGCGTGGTGCATATATCTTTATGATGTTTGACAGGTACGTTGGGGTTGGGACGACACATGTCAAGGTTAACTAAAAAGGCCGACATTTGCTTTGGAGCAAATTCAGCATGACTTCACCACATTTCACGACATGGCAGAGAAAGTAGGAGAAATGCAAGGGAAAACAATTCTTTACATTGATATAACTATAGTATGAAGTGACAACAGTTGGGTAGCTATCCCTTACATTATTGGTTGGGATTTTCAATTGCATACTGCAAACTGTTCATTTTTCAAGATAAAAAGAAGCGTTTATGCCCCGCATTCCAATGCTAGAGCTTAACATACATGTACCTACCAGAACACTTGAATAAAGTTCATACTGTCAATATGGCATGGCTTTGTACAGGTGTCATTGAGTTAATCCAATCAGATCTGAACAGCCAATCAGCAAGGAGAATAGAGGAAAGCTGCATGTCTATTGGTTGCCTGCTCTACATGCCATTCTGATGACTCATCCCCAAATATGGTAACACACTGCTATGTAGTACATTTTCTATAGCACAGCCAAAAAGCTCAAATAAAACCATTCTAAAAGCCTGTATCACAAAAATGAAAAAAACAACGCTTGGGGGTATTTGCCCACTCTACCGTCATTCCAAATTTCATGTTTGAAGGAGTTCAATCAATTTAAAGAAATGGCAGGAGGGGAAGACGTAACGTGAGCAAAAACAATATGACTCACCACTAGGTGGTGAAGTCATAATTATGGGTAATATAGCAGCTTTGTACAGTATTGCAGCTATGTACATGGGTGTGCTATCTCGTGTTGAGGACATGCTATGGTCTTTTGAGTGGGGCATAGGTGTTTGTATCATAGGTCAAGTAGTTTTCAACGAAACAGCTGCGTTTTTTAAACTGCCTTTAATGATGAAAATACACTAGACAGGTTAACTGTTGATGTCGTGGATGTGTTGTCAGAATACTTGGTAGGTTGGGGTCGGGAATACGAAGGTCAAGTTCGACAATGACCGAAGGTATGAGACCTTTGACTTCTAGTTTACTGACTGATGTAGTGAGTTAGAATATATGATAGTCTACGTACGCATATGATCTCGAAGTTGTAAGAAATGATGTTAATTAATGACTTTTAATTGTTGGTGATTACCGGTGGATGACGCCCATTGTGTTTTAAATCGTTTAAAACTCCTGTACGGCGCAATGTAACTCGTCAAAGTATAACATTATAATCAAATATCATCAATCTAAACTGTCGCCGACAGCTTGTCCAAGCCCCTCTGTGTACGCACACACTCCCATGTTTTGTTTTATTCAGAATACAATTAACAAAATAAGGGTACAGGACAAAGTGACGACGGGCTCAAGTTAGGTAACTTATGTTAGCGCCGCCACTTATTCGAATAAAACTAATATTACTAAACAATGCAAAACACTAACGAAGAAAAAGAAAAGAACAAACAGTCGAATTGATGAAGCGAGAGTCCACATTCCCCACCCAAAAGATGAAAAGGGCACAAATCGAATTTAAAAAAAATTAACGTTTTGTTGCTAAAATGTAATTTTGGGCGGTTGACATAATTACAGTTTACTCGAAAAGAATAAACCGGGGAATCGTTCAAAATTTTTAAAAGTTGTTTCGCTCTATGTGAAAGAGTGTGTAAGATAACAGAGTGTCCTAAGATCCCAGAAAGTTTGCTGAGGAGTTCTGAACGGTGGAAGTTATGTAAAGGGCAGTGTAATAGGTAATGAGTAACTGTTTCGTATTCACACCCATGTTGTACTATGTGTAGTGTGTACCCACCCTGATAAGCGCTAGGAGGAAGGTCCAGTTTTTCTTGGGAGTCTGCATTCGCCTCTCTGTCCGGAGTTCGTTTCTCCACGCTGCCACCATGATGACGAAAACGCAACCTAAAAACGCGGTTGATGAGTTTAAGTTCAATCCATCATAGGCCGTGTTTAAGTGAAGTCACCCAAGGCGCTTTACATTAACCCGAAGCCGGTTTCAAGTGGCTCCATCTGAACGCTCCAAATCACATTGAAAGCGCCTCGATCCCAAACCACTTGTATAGGTGGTTTCGAATCGGTTTTCCCGCATCGCGATTTTCGTCTGAACGCAATGTGATTTCAATGTAACTTCGACTGGTCATGGATTACGGGGTGATATTTCTTTATTTATATGCAATACCAACTTTGACGTGGCAGCAAGTTAAAGAGCAGTAATGGTCAAATAATGTGTCCGTTCTAGGGCGAGCTTCACCGCCTCTGGCGGGACCACGTCGGCATTCGGCCGAGATACGCTGGGAGGGGGCACCAGCAAGCAGGTCGTTGACCTCTGACATTAATAACACGCTACCTTGCGTGTTTTCATCAAACAACAATAAATGCAGCTCAAGCGAATTGTGATTGGACAAGGTTTCAAAGGATTGTGTGGCACGTGGACCAGATGTGAGGAATGTGAGTTACCCGAATCGCGGTTTGGGTGATTTCACTTAAACACGGCCAATATATGCCCAATGCGACTCCTTCGCACAACACACTCGCTATTCATCTGCGCAGCTGTTCAAGGATACACACACCATTGGAACTTTTTGCGTAGTACCTGTACTAACGTATACTAAGTCGTACTAACTTGTACTAACTTGTACAAACTACCATTGCATCACGATATCGTCGTGACATAGCAAGTACTACATATTACTACACAAGTGTCTACGTTTCTGATGTAATTTTACATAACGAGCTAATCATCTTTCTCAGATAAAGTATAACAGATTCCAAGAGACTCGATGCTAGCGCAAAAGACAGATTTGAATATATTTTAAATGCGATAGCTCCCACAATGCAAAAAAAAATAGTTAAGTATATAAAGACCGCTTTGTTAAGAAGAAGAAAAATGATGAAATTGACGATTATCCCAACTCGACTCTAACGCTATATCAACGACTCATACTAGCGCTTATTGTTTTAGTAATTAGGATTTTAAGACTTATTCTATACCTATCTTTTCACTATGTTTGTTGTTGCCATACATTGTACCATGTTAAGTCATATTTCTTCTTCGTAATAAAAAAAAACAAGACTGGCAATGAAAACATACATTGCCATGGCGACGGTGGTTGCTGTTAGGGTTATTGTGTGCATGGCACTGCCATCATTTCATGATTTTGAGGTAGACTTGGTCTAGACAGATACAGTGCACTCCTCCCCTGAGTGTATAGTGAACGAGCCCCGGGGTCACAGAAAGTAGGGCCATCTGGGGCAGAGAGGTCTTCCCAAGGGTTTCCAGGAATGTGGGCATAGATGTGGGTCAGAGAAATGCCTGTGGACATTACATTCCTGTGGACAAAATGCCTGTATCATTCCTACAATTCTTGCAAACTGCACACAATGCTGTACCTTTAGGCTCCTCCCTGAGACGTCGCAAAAAATTAGGAAACCTACCGAGAGGAAACAGACACAGGACGATGACGGTGACGCCGAACGTGACCCAGTCTACGTTGTCAAAGTAGCTGAAGGTCGTCCTGCCGGTACACGGCTCCAAGTCGGCAGGGTCCACCTCAAGGGGAGACCCGTTACCATCTTTGTGAAAAGAAGTAACACAAGTTACATACATTAGACCACAGCAAGTAATTTTTATTTTACAGATGACACAAGCGCGCGCAATGATTTTTGCCTGATTTTGAAAAAAAAAATGTTGACAGTGATCAACATGCCAAAAATGCATGGGCAAAATGGCATGTCTTGCCATGCTGAAACGTGTATGGAAGATAAAAATGCAAAGAGGAGACAAGACAAGACTTCTTCGATGCAGTGATGTATTTCATTCAGTTATATGTTCCCACTGAATCAAAACCATTTGTACAATGATTAAAAACTTTCCTTTTCCAAAGTTGTTTCAATGACAAATGGATGTTTTGATAGTTGGCAGCACAATATAGGTTTACTATCATTTCTTCTTTAACAGGGTTTATGATGTCAAAATTTGAAAATATAGGAATCTTGTTTTGGGGGGCTCGCCTTGTATTTTACATTAGATTTGGAGTCTGCGGAGGATGTCATCCATAAAATTGACTTACTGTGGCCTTAGCATGAAAGCTCATCTGTGTTGGTACATTCCATAATGAAGTTAGTACTTTGGTTCAACACTCCCATGGTCACGTGCTCAGAGTAATTGAATCACTTCACTACTGAAGAAGGTCGACGGATGAGCAAAATTCGAGGTGAGCAACAGTCTGATTGTGTTGAATGAAAGTTTTCTGATATCGAACAAGATAAGGGCCATGATAACCTATGGTTGTGCGATAGTTGTTCATGGTTTAGCGAGAATTTTATCAGCCGTCATGTATCTAACAATAGGGAACATTGATTGTTCAAGTTCATATCATCACTAGTGTATATTATATGTGTATTTGTGTAATATTTGTAAGTGCATGACCTGTGTTTAGCCCAATTCAATTCAATTCAAAGCCCTTATTTTGGCTCGATGGCCTGTTCGGCCATACGAATGCGCGGCCCTGCATGATGCGTGGTTGTAGAAGTTTTTTTTTATTCCAACATTTCATGAGTAGACATTGTGGCGGCTAACTCAAGTTATATCAACTTATTTTATGCCGTCACCAACGCAGAGGACAAATACGGAACAGGACAATACTTTTTTTCACTTGAGTTAAGTGAGGAAAGTCGTGTAAAGTGCCTTTCCCAAGAGCACCGGATCGGCGGCATGTCAGGACTCGAACCCTGGACCTCTTGGTTCCGAGTCGAGCACTCTACCGCTACGCCACACGACCCCACAGCAATGAGGCAAAAGTATACAGTGAAGGTGGTCTTCATTTGTTCATTCATTATCCATTCATTCATATTTAGATGATAAACAAAGTTATTAGCATCCTGGTCTCTACGTGGGTTGGTCCTTCAAACTACTTACCAGCACATCGGCAGAACGTACTACGCCTGCGCAAAACCCGTAATGTCTTGGGCATAGCACTTCGTCAGAACGTCTCGTGTAAGGACGTCATGATTTGCATATTCAAGGATGACAACCTGTCTATAGCTTTCAAATGTTGTATGGGAAAAGATGTCGTCTGCAACGAGCGATTTTATGATGTAGCGTTGACCAAACGCCCAACAAAACCCGTGAGAATCCGGGTTTCGCGCAGGCGCAGTACGGGCTGCCGACGTGCTGGACTCACCATTTTTCCAGAAGAAGACGTCATCCTGCAGCTGCGCAGACGGGACATCTGTCACGTGACTGAGGATGTCTTTGAACTTGATGCCGCGGATAGTGTTCAGCTCGTCGTCGCTGAAACCACTGCAAAACCAGGAACAAACGATTCAGCTATTTATCTCATTTTTTAATTTAAAAAAAAACAGTTTCAGTCGAAACCCGTGATAACTACTTTCACACGTGATAACGGTTGAATTAATGAGATAGAGGGTCGCTATCTCATTAATTCACTAAAACAAAAGCAAAAATTCTTCTTCTAGTGAATTGTTGAGATAGCGAACCCTTATCTCATTAATTTACTAAAATATGAATGATCTGTATAGGAACTTATTGTAGTAATGAAATACTTGCACAAAAAGGAATTATCACCAGTTTTTCCAGTTATCACGGGTTTCGAATTGAAATTCCATTCTCAACTAAATAAACGTGATAAATACAAGTCTACAAATGACTACTTAGTCTGGTACTAGTACATCCTACATGACAACAGTAAACATCCCAGCTAGGGTGCGTGGATAGGGGCTGCCTTCAGAGGTGTATTTTGACCTACATCTTTGCTGTTGAACGGCAAAAGATCTGGGCTTCCAGATGTAAGGCACTGTTTGAACAGTTCTATTTCTCGCAGGCTGAACTAATAACATTTATCAAGGAGTCTTGAGGGGTGAAACTACGTACGGAGTTTGTCCGGCCGGGTTCATCAAACTTCGAAGTATAGGTGTGATACCGTACGCTGAGCGAAGGTAGAGGGGGAAGACTGCTCATATGGTTCTGTTCTAAGCCCCCCCCTCCCCCGTTTTGTCGCACCAATATCTCACTGTAAACTGTCTGTTTTTCATGACCTTATTTTCTTTTGATATGTCAAATTGAAACTTGATTGGTGGGAGCGAATGGACAAGTAACCTGTCGTGCGAAGCTTGACACATCTTTTTTCTTCCCTCTGTCCCATACTCTTCAAAAACTTATCAAAAAAGACAATAGTTTTGTTTCCTCTGTCTAATTTTTCTTCTAGTTATACCCCAATTAAAAACGGGAGTGACTGTCCCGTTCATGCCTGTGTAGTACCTGTGAATGACGGTACATGACCTTACTTTGGATTTCAGAGGGGCGGCAGAAATATATACGTGATTACCGTACAGAATCTGTGCAATGTCGTTGACCTAACCACGGTGAATGTGTGATGAGCGAGCGTACATTGCCTTCTGAGGCAGGTCGTTGAACGGTAACGTTAATGCGGCACGACGTTCCTGGAAATCGAAGCCAGGGGAACCGTCCTTACCAAGAATCTTGTTTGATTGACGACCAGTAGAGGCGGCAATTGTCATTCTGACAAAATCGCACGATGTGGAGCGGTTGGAGTATTAAGATACATGTGTTAGACGACAAAAATTTATCTAGGCGATAAGCTTGAGATGTGGCGTTGCAATATTTAATCTCCAAGCAGATTCTGTGGAGCAAGGGGAGTCTATACTGGCCGTCTGTATCCATTGGCATTCTGTAACCGCTGGCCGCCCCACTATTCGGGAGAAATGTGTGGTTAGATTTAAAAGGTTTGAAGCCAATATAGACTTGCCCCACAGAATCAGCTCGGAGATTAGGCAATCACAGCCAGAAGAGTAGTGGATGCTAAAACTGCAAGGAATGTTGGCAATGAAAACAGGAAGACCAACTAGAAGTACGTACCGTAAATGCGGAACAGTAGACTCATTTCACACATATCGCTACATGAGAGACTCGCCTTGTTTGTGAGTTCTCGAACCAGAAGCGGTCAGCATCTCGGAGACGTAAGAACTGTTGTTTGATGATGGTCCTGTAGAGTTGTCCCGGCGCGCCGGCTCCAGCCCCCGCCAGCATCCCTCCCACCCACACGTCCAGCCTGTCCACGGAGCCGTACAGGGTACTGAGGTCAGACAGCATCTGTGGAGGGACGAGGTAGTTGTACGTTTTAGAAGCTGTTGGGGCAGAAGGTAGCCTCCTGTGCAGGCCCCGCGGCGGTGGGGAGTTTTTAACGCGTTATTTTAATATAGCCGTCCATCCTACATAGCCGCCGAGAGAAGGTTCCATTCCGCCCACGGAGCCTGCTCCCATTCGGCACGAAGAAAGCGAAAGGGGATTAGAAAAGTCTTTCAGAGGGCTCATTCACATGCCTGCGACGAGTAATTCACACCCGTCCGCAAATATTATCCGTGGGCGGAATGGAACTTTCTCTCGGCGGCTATGTAGGATGGCCGGCTATATTAAAATAACGCGTTAAAAAATCCCCACCGCCGCGGGGCCTGCACAGGAGGCTAGCAGAAGGACTGTCAAAAACAATCCTTCAGTAAATGAAAAAGGGGAAGGCAGAAGAAAAATGGGCTGACAACATCCAACAGTAGAAAACTGCGGAAGCCCTAACTCTAACACAACCGAGAGGAATGGAGGCAGATGGTCAGACACTCCAACATGAAGTGCCCCCACGATCCTAGACCTCGGTTATTAGGGACCAAGTTACATAGTACTAGTAGATGTTATACTCAGATGTCGTACACTACCTGTAACTGCCTGGGATAGAGAGGAATACCAATTATGCAAATGCAGACCTAATTTGCATTATTGGTAAGAAAAGACTAATTCAGTGATGGGAAATAATGATGATGATTTTACTCTTAGTTTGTTTATTATTTGTATTCAGGCCCATGGCCCATATCAACAAACACAGTACATAC